GGATGGAGCTGGGGGGGCGGGGTGGGGGTGGGGAGGGGGCGAGGCCAGCTGTGCTGACCTCAACCCCACCCCCTGGCCCTGCTCCTTGGAGCTAGCGGTTGGAGATGGAGGGGATGGTGGGGCAAGCTTCCCCCCACCCTGCTCCTGGGAGGCAGTGGTGATGTGGGGTGGTAGCAGGCCAAGTGGACACAGGGTGGGGGAGAGGGAGCGGGGTGCAGGGTCGGACACAGAGCAGTGGCAGCGCAGGGTGGTGGATGGCAGCGCCCTGTCCCTGCCCCTGCTCCCCCGTCATTCTTGACGGGCAATTCTCTAGTAGTCTATAAATATACAGGACATTTAACTGCATGCTGTGAGTACATATATTACTTTTTTCTTTTAGAGACCTTTAAACTTTAAGTTTAATGTACCCTGTGTGACACACATGCAAGGATTTTGAACCACGTTCTACATTTAATTGTAAGAGTATAACTTTGGAGTTATAAAATTAACTTACTTTTCTTACCTATTTAGTGGAATTCCTGAGGTGACTCATAATATATTAAGCCTTAAAAATTGCATTAGCAGTTTTTAGCTTTTGGAGGTTCCTAGGTTTAAAAAATTGGTAACATTCGTCATAGATTTTTTTTCTGTGTAGGCAAAAAAGGCAGATTTAATATGGGTGTTAATTTAAATAACATAATTAAACGTTCACACCAAACCAGTTTTTCAGTCCAGAGATGTAGAAGGGCTAAAATAGAAGTTTCAACTTCAGATATGGAGACATTACCTCATCTTCCTGAAATAAATGCTCCATATATGGAGATGATTTCTGTGTGATAAAATATATTAATCTCTAATGATCGCCACCTTGCCTGCTTTCTACCCACTAAGTAATCTCCTTTGACACTTATTCTAATATTACAAACTCATTGCTGCCACATTACCACTGTCAGGTAGTTAGGAATAATCATAAAGATCCTGATTTGACTCTCATGGTAGTGAATGGCAGTTAAAGTGGCTCAGAGAAAGGAACTTAGAGTCATGCTTCACATGTGTCCTGAGATGTATGCATTCACTGTCCACACCTTGCAGACAAGCAGCATGAAACTTAGGATAGGTCTAGGAAAGTATAGACATACCTAGCCCCTTTGGGTAGTTTAGCCACGACAATGTGGAACTGCAAAACCCACCCAAGAAGCTGGGTTAACACTGGAGTGGTTAGTCCATGCTGAGCTCCAGGCTGCTACAGCTAGACTTCTAGCAGTTTTTGAGCCAGTTGTTAGAAAGTGCCTGTGGTGTAGACATACCCGTGTTTCTATGTAGTGACAACAGCTATGGCTGGTGTTTAACTTTACTAATGACCAGGGATGGACTTTGCAGTCTTTCCAAGGCACTGGGCAAGATCTTAAAGCAGCAGTTGGCAGTGTTGTGGGGTAGTGGGCTGTTTTAATAGAGGCTAGCTTTGAGCAGGGGCCTCTTCCAACCTGCCCACAATGTCACTTCTGCAGTCAGTGCTCCTCCTCTGCAATGCCACCACCCGGCAGCTGTGCAGGCAAAGCTCCTTGCTACAGAAACACTGTTAAAGTCCCTTCATTTTGTTAAAACACCACAGAAGCCCCTGGCTCCACAAGCCAGATCTGGCTCACAAGCTGTAGGTTGCCAACCCCTACATCCCTGAGGTGCAAATTCAAAGGTGAAACTATCATTTGCATATGCTTTTTATCTTGAACAAAATTAAAGGTAAAACTTGTGGAGGATCTGAGAAATCAGCCATCTCTATGTAAGTGCCTTTTTCTAGCAAAGATTTAAAGCGTTAAATTTGACTCTCTGCATTTAGCACAAAATTACACCCTTTCTATGTCCTATTTTATTTTAATCTACTTAGTGGGTGTGCAAAGAATTAAGTTTTGAAATGATTATAAGACGAGACAAAAAGAACTGTATTACTCTGTTAGCAGAATGAGGCTTAGAATATGGGCCAATTTTTGTGTCTGCTGTTATATAAAAGAAACACTTTTAATTTTACATAATGGAACTTTACAATTTTAAAAATAACATTATAAGACAAAGCTATGTCATTGGCATTTTGTCAAATAGGAGCCATCGTCAACTCTGTGGGTATCTGCAGTCTTCACCAAAACAGTAGTTACTACAGAATTCATTTGACTGATCTTAAGAGAACAACTCAATCACCACCAGAGTCTCTCTATTTCCTTTGTTTAATTGTTAATCAGAGTGCTGTAATATAAACACAGGCAGATGTACATAACATAAATTATCCATAGAGAGTGTTCAATCCGTCACTACTAGAAACCATTTACTACATCTGAAGCAGTGCCGTTTTTACTCAGTTCAGGCATATCCTTGTACTTGAAATGAGTTTCAGAGAATATCATTTGTTAATGAGACTCAGAAATTTAATTCCAGACAAGTTTTTATATTGATGCAATATATAAATTGTGACATGCTGTTATGTCAATGAGGCAAACAAATCAGAAGTTAATACATCAGCACACACCTTTGCTGTTTAGATATTTTTATTAAGATTGGCAAAAGGCACTCTCAATATATCCATTAGTCTTAGAAATGGTAATTTGATTTTTACTGGTTTTGCAGCATTTTGTCTCTGAATGTCTCTGTATGCTCTTAGAAGTGATACCTCAAAGGCTAGGTACTGACAGTCAAAAAACCCAAGGCTGAATCAATTCAGTCTTTGCAGGTTAGTCTAAGATGCACAGATTAAATTGAAACAGAAGTGAACAGACAGTTACCTTTGATTCAGGAAATGCAGCCACATGCCTGCAGTGGCTCAAGCCAGAAGCTGGGGGAAGCACTACAGCATGGCTTGCTGGCTGTGTGTTTATTTTGTCTTCTTGCTGCCCCTGAGGTCTCTGGGATTTGCAGTCCAGAATTACAGCAGCAGGACTCTGCAGGGTTGCTCATCATCACTTCCACTTCCTGCTTCCAGGTGCCTCTGGGACTTGTAATCCACAGCTGCAGCCAGCAGTAAGTTTGAGTGGGGGAAGCAGTGTTGAACCCCCCTCCCTGGCTCCAGTTTAATGGGGCGGGAGGGTGGGGGCAGTCCCCACCTGTAGCCTGGGCTGCATCCCCAGCTGGGCTTGCTTCCCCCAGCCCCTTGTCAGCCAGCCCTCACTGCTCCAGCTGGGAACCAGAGGGGCAGACAGCCCAGCCCAGCCAAGAGCTAGAAAGCATGCTGGGATGTCGTGGTACTCTGATTTAACTTGAACCAGGAAGGGGTCTGGGACAGAAGTTTCATAAACTGGTTTGACCCAAATCAGTTAAGTCTGATACTACATTCAACCACGTTTATCTTGAACCACTTTTAGCCATTTTGAAACTGGTTTATGTGCGCTGAGCTTCTGTTCTATTACAGGTTTAAACCAGTTTCTGATCACTGAAACTGGTTTATGTGTAACTTCTGTCCATATCCAAAGAGTCTGGTCACAAGTAAAGTAATTGTCACA